ACCAGGAAGAACACAATCCGTCCAAGAAGGTACCCACTAATGTTGTTCACCTGTCCCACAAAACACAATACCATTCACATAATCACATTGATTAAGATTGAATTTACAATATATACACATAGTTGTACATCTTTATTCTGCTACTGTATTGGGATTGCCATGGCAGAAAAAAAAAAAAGCAGAAGGCAATGCGGCAAACTCAAGGAATGGTTGCACAATAGGTCATCAAATTGTAACATCAATTTCTGTATATTTGTCCAAATAAATAGATAACAAGTGAAATGATTAGATAGATGCAATAAAAATGAAAGAGGATTTACTTGTATCTGTCCACCATGGCCACTGACCATATCAATCATTTTGATATCAGAGCGTTCTTCCACAGATTCATAAACCTGAATATAAAGGAATTTACCCAGACCTAATTATAATTCTCGACAGCAATCAACATGCAACATTATCTGAAGAGTAGAAAGAATGTCCATAAGGTACCTTTTCATAATTATCCAGTCTGACTTTAAATTCATGAATATTGAAGCGGAATCTATACCAAGAAGTGGGGTTAAGCAATCTATGAACATAATAATTATCCGTAGATGATTAAGTGGGGTTAAGCAATCTATACCAAGAAGTGGGTTCCCGGAGTTGCCTCTTCCATGCTTGCTTTTATTCTATGAACATAATATCAAGAAAAACATAAAGTAACATTCAATTTCATATTTTATGCCTGACCAATTTGAGCATCTGATAATGCCTATAATATACTACACTTAAAAATTTTGCAATATTGCAAACCTCATAGCAACTAACTCAAGTGTCTACCACCAACTTTAAAAAGATCAAAACTAACAGAAATTCTCAAAATTACTTGTGTGACATGAATGCAACTTAATCTAGATGACACCCCGACAACACAGCAAAATAGGATGTCTTGAGGTCATTAACCAGATTTAGACACATGCTTAAAATTACGAGAGCATACTTGATTAACATCCATATTAAGCTGTGCCACTTGACTTTGTAAAATTATAACTTCTTCTTCAAGTTTTTTCTTCTGGCGACTCTCCTCTTCCAGCACTTCTTGAAGGCCACCAAAGTCATTAGAATTTCCACCTGCCAACTATACAACATTATTTAGTCGTGCATTATCCGTCAAATATAAATCTGGCTATCATAATTCATATAGTCAATATCAGAAATTCCAAATTCTGAGTAATAACATACGTCCACCCTCGAATATCTTCCTTGTCATAAGTTGAGTAGGTGAATAATTTTGTTCGGTGAGCAGAGTAATTTATATATAGTTGAAAAGTGGGAATTAAAAACTCCATAACAGGGAAGCCAGATTTGGAATAAGTACGTTACCACACCAGCAATTAAGTCGATCATCTGGGCTAATAATCAACCTCTTATGCCGGCCTTGAGTACTCTCTTAACATTCTCATCAATCTGAAAGCTC